AAGGGGGGGAAAAGGGGGAAAACAAGGGGGGGGGGGGGGGGGGGTTGGCGCTGGGATGATTGGCGCTGTGTGTACCAAAATGCTCGCTCAAGAAACAAACCAAAGTGTTCACGTATCCACACCGGTATCTACCATGTTGTTTTTCGATCGCGCGCTCATGACTGTCAGCGTTTGCTCCACGCTGTCCTCGAGTTGTCTCTTGACCCACCACCACGCGACTGTGGGCATGTAAACTATAAGTTGTTGTAGGCATATCGGTAACCCAAATACAACGATGTGTCGTTCCGGAGTATCGGTGTCGCCATCGATGTCGAGTACATTTTACAATACGATACGATATACATACACGATTCGATATTTCGATAAACGCACCCGGCGGAGCCCCCGAACTTGCCCACGGAGCCCCCTCCAACCTCTTTTGCCTTTTGCCTTTTCTCTTTGGTGTGTGAACTGCAATGTTAGCAGGATGCTTCACGGGTTGCGCAGAGACCAGCGGCGGGGGCGCGTACCGGCAACGCGACGGGAGAAAAGAACCCAGCGGGGAAGAGCAAAGGGAGGGATCGGGGGAACACGCCGCAGGGGGAGGAGAAGGAAATCAGCGAAGCAGCAGCAGCAGCGGCACCGGGGAAAAGAAAGCGTGGCAACAGGGACGGCGCCGGCAAGGGCAAGGGGAAGCAGAAAAAGAGCGGCGGGCGGTCGGCAGTGGGAGGAGCGGCGGCAGGGAACGGTCCGGAGAACGGGGCGGCTCTCGCCGGAGACAGAGAGCCGGAAGAAGAAGAACGAGAGGAAGAGAACGGAGACGGAGATCAAGGAGAAGAGAAAGGGAAAAACAAGGGCAAGCGGAAGAAAGGGACTAGGGTCTACGCTAGGGGCCAAGGGGGGACGTTTCGAAGACCGGGACAGACGCAGAAGGCCGCGCGTGGCGGGAAGGGGGGGCTCGCGGTGTGCGAACAAGGGCAGAGGATGAGGAAAAGACTCGGACTCGAGGCCAACGGGTTAGTTTTCTTGCAGTTTTTTTTTTCTTCTTTTTTGTTGCAGAAAACTGTTTTGTTTCTTCCCGAAACATCCTATTTTTTTCTAGCAGATTTGTTTTTGTTCTTGAAATAGTATGCGAGTTCACGTGTATCTTTTTGTGTATTTTGAAGGCACGGGGCACGTTCTCCCCGATCCAAGCATGTCAAAGGACTCTACATGTTACACTTTTTTTCTTTCGCCGTGTTCCCCCCCCATCCACTGGTATTCCACCGCATCTCGCCTCGCTTCTCCTGTGCCCTTTCGTTCCCGCCGCTACTATTGCACCGCTGTTTTCGTCCACACTGCTCTCTTGGTGTTGGCGGTTTCTCCCCCCTTCCGTGCCGCCGGTGGTCTTGCCCGTGTTATCCCGCCGCGAAATGGCCTGGTGCATCAGGGGCAAGGTGGTGTGGGCATCAGACGCAACGGTGGCGGATCTGAGGCCGGTGCTCGGCGAAAGGCAAGAGGGTTATTCACACACGCTGTTTCTGTTTAGGGTGTATGTCTAATGTGATCCTCGTGACGTGGACAAGAAATGAATGATGCCTTCGCCAAGCGCTTAGAGCTGTAGTGTCATATATCATTGGCCGGCACTAAGCGCTGAAATATCGTCTTGTGATAAATAGTTGCGCACGACCCTTTCCTGCCAAAGGGTAGTTGCCGCGTTGCTTTCAACTGCTACATATCCCGCCACATTTTCTCCGGATACAGGCAAAATCTACTGCATACGGCATACAGTCCGTTATCGGATGAACAACGGGAGCATTTTCTTTCTCTGTTGTCTACTCCCGCCCACGGTCTCTGTGAAGATGATGTCCATATGAAACTCACTAAAGTGTTCAATGGGCGCAGCTGGATGCAAAAAGTGGACGGGAACGAACCAAGTCCCAATCCGAGTCAACCCTTCGACGCTTGAAGGCAACATATTTAGGAGCTTCTATGCGGTGCAAGCAAGGTGCCGCGAACCCATCTTTGATGCCAAAACATGTTGAGAGATCCGACAAGGGGGAGCTGACCGCCTGGTACCAAGACGACTTAATTTCGCCAAGCACTGGTCGATCCCCTCGCCTTTTTCGGCAGGCACCTACGTCTTGCTTACGATCGCGCCTGGGATAACTCACTCCCCCCCCGTGCTCCCTGTCTTTGATATCACCTACCTGGCGCTCTTCACCTATCGATCGGATATATAGGATGGAGAAAACTTTTCTGAGCCACCGTTGCAAAGTAGGAAGGAAAGGTTGGCCATCGGTGATCGGTCCTGTGGGAACAATGCTCCGTCCTCGTGAGGACAGTGGTCTAACAACCAAGGCATGCAAAACATGAGTACCCCCCCCCCCCCCCATTCCGCCGCGTGCCCCCTCATCGCAGGTACGTGTTCCTCCCCCACCGCGACTGTGACCACCTGTTCGTCGTTTCGGACATCAGGATTGAACCGGTCCCGTTTCCGCCGCCAGAACCAGAACCCACTGCTGTCCACACTTCCGGCGGGCCGGCGGCTGCGGCGATGGCGGCGGCGCCGGAAGAGGACGCTCGTGACGGTGGATCGGCGGCGACGACCGGGCAGCAGCAGCAACAACAACAGGCCGGGTCTTCGTCTAGTACAGCGACGAGGGGAACTGCTGATATTGACTCTGTTCATCCTGGTGGTGGCGGTGGTGGTGGTGGTGGTGGTGGTGGTGATGCGGCAGATCGTGGTGGCAGTGTTAGGGCTGTGGCATCCATCGGCGGTGCCTCGACGGAGAATACCGCAGCGGTGGGAGGGGGGAGGGGGGAGGGGAAGGAAGAGGAGTACCCCAGGCTTTCGTTTCTGTCGAACCCGCACTGCAGGAGGTGCGGGATTTGCTTGACCAAGACGGCTGTGAAGATGAGCGTTGGGCACCCGCTTTCAGACAAGGTGGGTGTAGTCGGGGGATTTGTTGTGCACGTGTATCGAGAGTCGAGTGCGTTGCTTGAATAGAACGTTGTTGTTGTTGGTGTGGTTTTGGTGTTGGTGCTGTTGTTATCGCTGCTGTCGCTGTCGCTGTTGCTGTTCTTGTTGTTGTTGCTCGTTGTTGTTGTTGGTGTGGTTTTGGTGTTGGTGCTGTTGCCTTCACATTCAAAACCGTTCCGGTCTCTGGTGAGCACCGTCTAAAATGTCCGTACAGGTCTTCCTGACGCAGACGCCTTCCGTGGTGATAGGCCAGTCACCACCCTCAACCGTGCATACGCTTCGAAAAGATCAGACAGAACAAAATGAAGAGGACCCAGGCACGGAGTGGCAAGTTTACATTTTAGAAAGTACACAATAATCACAGGAAGACTACCCGTTCGAGCAATAACCACATTCGAAGGGCAAGTTTACTTTGTGAGGGTCGTCACCAGCTCCTCGGGGTAGGCTCAAGGATCCCCCGTTTATACTTGCACTCGCACGTCCGACAGTTTTTCGTTGTCGTTGAGGTAGCAGATTTCCAGCCCTGACACCGCGGCGCTACAATACTAATAGGCCTATCTGGGCCTAACCAACGCCTAAACCCTAACCCTACCCCTCACCCGCACCCCAAGCTAGGTTGGTGTGCAGTGGGTAGGCCTAGATCATTGTACCGAGCTACTGGAGCGAGCTTCCGGCTCGCCAGCGCTGGCGTGTATGCGCCTCGCGGCCACGCACCTTGCTTTGCTCTGTACATCTTGGCGTCGTCGGCAGGACTGTCGCCAAGGCTCTCCACATTCCTCCATAGGTCGCACTTTACCAATTCCTACACACAAAAAGGGGCACCGTGTCCTGTAGGGAGGTTATTGTGCATCTGCGTGGCCCCTAGCCGTGTGCGCGCTCGCCGCGCCTGTAGTACACTGTGCGGCGTACCACCTACTACATGGAGACGACGAAACACGACCGCTTTTCCTTCCTTCCCACCTCGCTGCACGCAGGCCTCCCTTTTCTGCTGCCAAGAGTGCTTCGAGATGCTACACTTAGACGCCGACCAGAAGCCGCTGGAGGGAGAGCTGGCCGGGGATGTAGCTACCACGTCCCCCCCCGGGGACACAACATCACCATCCCCTCCCCAGGGTCCGGAGGCAGGCCAAGCCGCCGCGGGACCTAGGGGTTGGCGAGTGTTCCGTTGCCACGACGAGCACTGACGCCCCTGGTTCATATCCCGGATTTGTTGACGAAAAGGGAGCACGCTGGCTCCTCATGTCGTGTGTCAAATACAGCGAACGGCTCAGATCGTGTGGTGTTGGTGTTGCTTGGAAACGCCGCGGACAGAAATGAATTGGATGTTGGGCGAAGGTCAGCGGCTGAAGAAACGGGGGGTGATTGTGTGTTGTACAAATGGAGCTGTGAACTAGTGCTGTGGTTGTTTTGGGCGTCGCCTTTGATTGTACCCTAATTAGTTGTTGGTTTCGTTGAGAAAAACACCCCTGTTGCTTGGCTACCAGCAGTGTCACAGACGAGCCAATTGTTAGCGGCGTGCTTTTCTTTGTTGCGCTGCGGGTAATGAGGGTGTTGATCTTAGACGTGGTGTAGTCCCTAGGGAGAATCGTACGGAATTGGAAGTTTGAGCCAACGTGTAAGTCTGGTTTGAGAGTAGCGACTGGACTTACTTGTCGAGGAGGAAGAAGCGTCCCTGTCCAGACCGAGTCGGACGTCCCTGGTACACTCTTCTTTCAGTGAGGCGGTAGACAAGGCTAGACACAACGCTGAGTTTTGCGTGTTTAGCTACCATCGGCCTCGCTAACCAATGAGAAGACGTCCGTCAGTGTGTGCTGTGTTCATCCTTTTTTTAGCTTGAGTCAAGGTTTTCACGATCGAAAACGAAGACGACGAAAAGCACGGATGATCCAGGGCTCGAGCATACCCAATACTTCAGCATGAGCCGATTCTGCTGTAGCATAAAACCCACAAAGGGCGAGCAATCTTATCGCCTGTCATCCGTGACACGTGTTTTTGGCGGCATATATATCTAAATACCCCACCGGTGGGGTAGATAAACCTGTATCTTGCCCTCTGCAAGACTCCGATCGGCACAGGACATGCACCGTGTGTTGCTGCGTTGCAGGGCTGTATCATTGGACCCGACGTGAAGCTTGTACGGGGCGGTTTGACTTCCTCCCAGTAGCCTGAACCCCGCGAAAGAAGCCGGGGCCTTCAAAACGGTGCACTGTGAGAAAAAACCGCCGAAACCATTTGGATATCCACAAGCAAGCTTGATGTCCGTACAAATTGACGGGGCGTACCTGCAATTTCGTGAATCAAAGTTGGTTTGGTGCATCGAAACTATTTTTTTCTGCACGGCGGTGAGGGCTATGTGTCGAGGCCGCTCGTGACACCGTACGCGTCCTCGCTGCTAGAACAGCCCAATCAAACGCAAAAGCTGACAATTTATCAGTTAGTTGTATTAGTCAAGTTTCGGGACCATTGCCAACATCGATACCTCCGCCGACCCATTGTCACGTAGAAGTACATACTCCGGAGTAGGACACATCGAGCGGCGCATCGTTTCTTCTGCCATCTCGGCGCGATCTACAGCATCAGTATCTACATATGAATATGTATGTGCCGAAACGAAGTCGAACCAAAAACATCCTCTCTTAAAAACGCCGGCGCAAGAGACATTGTCAATCGCTTCTACTCTCCGGACGAAACCAGCCTGACAGAGGACAGGAAGGATTTTTGAAGGATTTCTGTTCTCACCTCGTGAAAAAAAAAAAATCTAACCCCCCCCCGCCCCGTCGTGTCGGCGTACCACCACATGACACATGATGAGCTGGATGGATGAGCAGTGGACCATTTCTGCATCGCATTGCACCGACACACCACCGCGCACCACCCAAACACGCACAGCCCTAACATGGAAATGAAAGGAAGCGAGCGGGCCACACAAGGAGAAGATGACATAACCGAGATTCTTCCTGCTGTCACGGAAGCCAACGGAGGACACACCATCATCAAGATCCCCCGCACGGATCCTGTGAGAAACAGCTCTATTGTTTGTGAATCCTAAGGGCGTAATGCTGGTCTACGGTACATTTTCCTTTGGGTTGAGGCATTTCGCCGGGGAAAAGCTGCCCAAGTTCTTCGCCTGCCGTAGTGTCTGCGCCATTTTGGCTGCTGGCTGCGTGTATTGTAGCCATCTCCTTGACGGGAACCACGTTTGTGCGTGCTCCATGAAATTGTAATTTTAATTTGTAGTGTAGACAATGTAGACAACACCGGCCGCTTCGAGCACCAGCGACGGTACATAGGGGACGGGAACGGTAAAACCTTGCAGCTCTCACAGCAGTATGCTAGTGCCATGTCCGGTCCCTTGATTATTTCGTTCGCCGTCACAAAGTTGCCGTCACGCTGCATGCCCCTTCAGCAGCAAAGAATTCTGAGTTCTGGGTCGCACGCCCACCAACGAACGGGACCCTATCTGTTCCCTTGACCCTTTTCCATAGATAGGCTCTAATTAGACGACATCAGTACACCAGTACCATTCGCTTCCATCTCACCGTGCTATCTATTCTCTGCGTCTCCCTTTCCCTCTCTCCCTCTCTCTCTCGCTCGCTTCGCGCTGCTTCGTGTGATCAACGGCTGGACCATGCCGACATCAAGATTATCAAGGCAGACTTCGTTTTTCCGGAGCCACTGAAGCCGGTCTTGCCACCAACAACACCAACAGCAGCAGAAGAGGCATCGTCAACCACATCAACGAAACTCGCCCGAGCTTCTCCTCTCATCACCCCGTTATCGGTATGCCTGGCCGGAGGTGTGTTCGCGGTCGTGGCCGCCGCGGCATGGGTCCGAGTCATCAGGCATTGCACGCCAGCACGACGCCGCTCGTTCTCGCGCAAGCTAAGCCGCCTTTGTGCTGCCGCGGACCTAGCCCTAAAAGAAGAGAGATCGCCGGTGAGTGCACCCCAAGGGGGCAGCAGCAGCGGCGGCGGCAGCGGCAGACTGAGGAGTCTTGGCAGTGACAGTGGCAGTCTCCGGGACCGTGCAGAAGAGGCCGAGCGGCAGCAGGCGAAGTTGAAGGAGCTCCTAGCGAAGGGGTTCGAGCTGGGCAGACGTGTCCCTTGGGAAGCTGCTTGGCGAAGGGAGGACGTGAGTCGGCGGCTCGAGTCTTACGCCCGGGAGCTGTCGCAACGGCTGGCGAAGGTGGAGCGGGCGGCCAAGGAGCTGAATGTCATGGCGGAGATAGAGCAGCTGCTTGACAGGCTAGCCAGCGACGGTGGCGGCGTGCGCAGCGCGAGGGATCTGTCAGCAGGAGGAAACGGCGGTGAGGCTCTAGACGACCGGAGCGAAATCAACGACGGAGGTAGAGGTGTCATACCCCATCGTGCTCGGCTGTCGAGCCGGGCAGCATCGCCGCTCTCGCGACGGTCTAGCGGCCGCAGCGACAGCCACAGCGGCGAGAATACCGGCTGTGTGTTTCGAGAGGAGCTTACACAATGGTGCGACAGGCTTGCCGTGAGGGAGAAAGAAGCGGAGGACTGGTTCAAGCTTGGCCTCAAGATTTGGGACTTGAACATGGCGGACAGAGGGATCGAGCAGCTTCGCTTGCTGCAACGCCCGGAGACCGTCCACGAATTCCAGGAGAAACGGGAGATTGTCCGCCACAATCGGTGGGAAGTAGAAGAAGAACTAAAGGTGGGAGGATGAGAAGTAGCACGTGCTTGTGTGTTAATGCAGGCTGGGGCACGGGTTCTACCCCCTTTGCTACTTTCTGTGAACTCGCCGTTCATTCTCTCGTTGTCGATATAAAGTTATGTCAAACCATGCCACCGATGTTTGTCTACTGAGCCTTCGGCGGTGCACGTAGCAGCGCCAAAGGGAGCTCGAACCTTGCGTTCCCTGCCGCCCTCGGCGTCCCACCCTCTCACGATGCCCGCACCTACCTCTTTTTAGTTCGTCGGCTATCAGCGATAGCGTTAACATTGTTGGTGCTACACTCCGACCGTGATGAACTCGCGCGCAGAAAGCGGTAAAATTCGCGAAGGAAGGCGACCCATCTACGCTCCGAAAGGCCTGCGTGAAGGCGGAAACCTTCTCCGGCGAGAGCCTGGACGAGTACCAAACCGCGAAGCAGTTGCTGAAGAATGCGCAAGCGGCCCAGCTAGAGAAGGAGGCTCGAAGGATACTATCGAATCACGGCATCTTCGCCCATCCGCGCTGCAACGTGCGCTTCGACTCGGCCAGCGGCCCCGCGCTCCTGCTGAGGGATGTCTCCGGGGAGGAAAAGCTTGGCGATGGCGGCGATGGCGGCTCCGGGCTCGAAGAGCCTGGCGCAGATTGTGGCGGCACTGCTGCCCCTTGTATGTGCAGGCGGCACGTCCTCGACTCGGTCAAGCAAGAGGCTGGAGATCATCGCGGCGGCGCCCCTGACTTTGGCGGTGTCATCGCCAGGAAACACCGGAGAGTGGATCGTGCCGACGAGAGTTGCGGCCGTCAAGAGGAAGGTGTGGCGAGAGTAAAGTGTTCTTGTTCTTTGCGGCGTCAGCCGATGACATCGGCTGCTCCGGCGGTGGAAGGTTCGGTCGGCAGTGATGTGGCGACGTGGGCCCGGCCCTCAGGGGGTGCCGTAGCGGGGGGAGAGACGCTGCTCTCGCGGCAGGAGGAGCTGCTGGTGGTGCGCCGCAGCGCGGAGACGGAGTTCAAGACCCACGTCACGAAGCTGCAGGAGGATCACAAGCGAGCGTGCGAGAAGGAAGCATCGAGACTGAAGGCGTGGTACGCGGAGGAGAGCTACCGCCAGGCGTACTTCTCGCGGCTGGACGAGCGCAGCTTTCTTGAGGCAAGCAAGATAGCGATGGAGATGAAGCGCATGCAAGACGAGGAAGCGCATCGTAGGCGGGAGGAAGTGGATGCCAAGCGCCGGAGAGATGACCGTCGGCTGGAGAAGCTGCAGGCTCGCGACGGCGACTTCTGGCTAGCCCTCTCGGCGCTTGAGGTCTGCCTCGTCGCTGCTGTCGCCGCCTATAACAAGGGGCTTACACCCAGAGTAGTCTTGGACGCCGCGCGGGAGGTCTTGGTGGCCGAGTGCGCGGACGGCGGCGTCGGGGTTGTCGTTACCTTGGAAGGAGGGACCACTGGCGCGCTCGAGGGGTACGACGACGGGGCGTGTGGAGCGAGGGACGCAGACGGGGGGTGGTGGAGGGATGCCGCCGACGGAAGCGAGGGCGCTCTTTGGTGGGCGTTGTCCTACGCGGGATCGACCGCCGGGGCCGTAGTGCGGGCGGGCTACTCGTCCGGTCGCTGGCTCCTGGGGAAGACCCTCGGCCTGGTGATCCCAGACGTTCGGTGCGAGGCACGCACGGTTTTCGCCCTGGTTGCGTCGCTCTTTTTCCTCGCCCTGGCCTCGAGAATCGTCGGGGGGCTGCTGGGATCTGGCCGGGCCCACGTCGTGGCGCGGAGGTGGCTCCTGGTCGCGTGGGTGTGGGCACGGTTCCAGGGCTCGGTGCTGCGCGCCGTGTGGGAGCTGCTGATGCTGCTGGCACCCACGCCGGCGCTGGTGATGGCCTACGGATACGTGCTGGGGTACGTGGAGCGCTACCGCAAGCCGGGCGGTCGCTGGTGGGTGCGGGGGCGGGACGTGCGTCCAGTCTGGTTCAGGGTTCTGCCTACTGTCGTGTCAAGTGCCCTGGCTTGGTTTCTGGGAGCGCGGGCATTATCGTGAACGTGCCCACGGACATCGTTTTTTTTTTGTTTCTTGAAACTATTACTCCTGGTTTCGGCCAATCGGATGTAAAGAGTTAATTGTTTCCGTGCATCGTCTCTTCAAGCAAGTGCTTTCTTGGCGTTGGAATCCTACATAGTTGGCGGTACAATATCCCATGTTGATTCTGTAGACTGTTGGTCTCGCCGACGATGTGCGTACGTGCCGGGGCTTGTCAACTCACAGTCATTTTGAAGGAATACGAACAGTTGCTTAAGCACTTCAAATTTGTGTAGCAACTTATCGATCCATGGAGGGCAGGGAGCAGTGGTGAAGGGGATAATTTTCCTAGGGCGACGGGACTGAAAGAGAAAGTGATGTTTTCGTGTTTTCCAGCCCTACAACATGATGGGAGCGATAGCGCTCATGTTGAAGATCGGTGTTCTTTGGAGGAAGGGGTCCTTGAGAGACGGCTATATTGCCCAGGTAAAGGGATCCTTCACCGAAAAAGACAGTGCATTCGTCCCGCCACTATCATTCGTCCCGTCACTACGTTGTAGTTGACGATGCCTCTTCTGCTGCTGTCAGTGTTGTTGGAGGCAAGAGCCAGGTCGCGGGACTCGGTGGCTCCGGCAAAACGAAGTCTCGTGGCACGTCCTCCTTGATGGTCGTCGGCATGGTTCAGCCGCTGGTCTAGCTATGTGCATTTCCACTTGCAGCAGCGCGAAGCGAGCAAGAGAGAGAGGGTCAACGAAATAATCAAGTAACGGGGCATCGGTCGCGACACTAGCGTATAGACTGTGAGAGCTGCAAGGTGTTACCGTTCCCATGCCCCATACTATGTAGAGTCGCTGGTGCTCGGCCAGTGTTCGTCTTTATGTACCGTAAGAGTCGGAGAGATGGCACCCCCGTGTTAGCGTTTTTTGTATAAGCGTATTTCTCCACAACCAGAGGGGTACCACTGCGGAAAAGGGTAGTTTCGGAAAGATCTCGTCGAGGGCTTTCCTGAGAGGTATAGGTTGGTGTTCGCACCCTCCTAGTTGTGGAGAAATACGCTACAGAAAAACGCTAACACCGGGGTGCCATCTCTCCGACTCTTACGGTACATACAGTCTGCATGCACTCTTTCTGAGTTGCAGATTTAAATTACAATTTCAGGAGCACACACACGTGGTTCCCGTCAAGGAAGTGTGGCTACACGCAGCCAGCAGTCAAATGGCACAGACACTATGTCGGCAGGCGAGAACGGTGACAGCTTTTCTCTTTTCTCCAGCCAAATGCCTCAACCCAAAGGCCGTTGGATTCACACCATCATCATCATCATCATCATCAATAGAGCTGTTCTCACAGGCACCGTACGAATCTTGATTTGTGTCTCCCGTTGGGTTCCATGACAGTAGGAGGAACCTCGGTTACTCGGTTACGCTATCTCCTCACTGCTGTAAATATAGCTCCGTCGATCCCTTTCCTTTCCATGTTGTAGGGCTGTGCGTGTTGGGTGTGTGCTGGCGTGTCGGTGAATGAATGTAACGCAGAAGAAGGTGGGTGAGCTGAGAGCCAGAGGGTGATGGCTATGACCTGCCACCGGAGGCTGGCTAATTCCATTGGTACGATGTGGCGAGGAACGCCAAGCGTGACCGAGCGAATTCAGTCAAAGCTATAGATACTTTTAGGGTGGTGCCGAGTGTGGGCGAGCCTTCGTGGACTCATTTTCCCAGCCTCGAAAGGTTTTGATTCATCAACCATTCATTCGCAGCTGTTGGGAATCAGAAGAGTGTCACAGATCTCCCAGACACTCTTTGTGTACGTGTGTCCATGCTCCCTAAATATCTACTTGTATATCCTCACCTCCAACAACAACAACAACAATATCCTCACCTCCACATCGTCATGTGCTCATGTGGTGGTCCGCATAGAACGCGTAGATTGTGTAGATGACTTTTTTTTCCCATAACGAATCCATCTCTATTTTTTTATGCGGTGGAACCTGCAACCTCCGAAACCGTCGAAGACTTCTCTCTCATCCCTTCATCCCTTCATCCCTCCCCCCCACTCTCCTCACACACCGACCGCATCCGAACTCTCTGCGAGGTGAGCACCATGTGAGAAAGAGAAGAGAGTGTGCGTCTCGTGTCTGGTCTGGGCAGTACCCAGCGTCAGGGATGGAGAGGGCGCAAGCAGAGAGCTATCCATGTGCTACCTATCTATGTGATAGCTGATTCCACACTTCGGAACGATTACAGCAGTAGGTGCTCATCATCTCTCAGTGCGCGTTCTTAGCGAACGCCTCAATCGGCCGTGACAGCAGTACGCACAGCGCGCTGGCAATCTAGGCTACGCTCTCACGGGACGAGATGCCCGTGCATCGTTGAGAGTGGCCTGGAGGACTCTGAAACGTGTGCGTCTTCCGGTGATATTTGTTATTTTCCTCAAAGCAACGAGGGTCGCGCCGAGTGACGTCTGTCGACATGCCAAAAGGCGGGTTGGTTCGACGAGCATCACGATGGGGTAGCAAGAGCATCGCCATGGGGTAGAAAGAGCATCGCCATGGAGTTCCTTGCTCATCTCATCGGTATGCCTTGGTTGTTTTTCGCCCGGAGAGAGAAGCGATGGGCATACACCGGCGGTTGTTTTGGTGTTTTACGAAGGTTCAACTTCCTTTCGCCAGTTTTATTTGTAGATGAGATGCTGTTATAGACCAATCCACGATAGATAGCGCAAGAGACAGAGAGACGATGCGCCTCTACAATAGTCTCTATCACGGAGGATTCCTGACCCCAATGCGTGCCTGGCGTTGCCTGTTCCAGTGACGTCATGAAATCGTGGAACTTGGACTTCCTTGTCGCAGACACCTGCTGTTGTCTTGAAGTCTTCTCACATGCGAATTGTAATATTTGTCCGATCGACGAAATGATTTTGATGCACGAAGTTTTTGATGCACGAAACGGCCTTATTACGTGCAGCCTTTGTTAGCTTAGCCTGTTGCCCACGTAACTCAAGGAATTCAAGGACCAGAGGTATATAACCATCCGCTGATGCGTGATTGACCAGGCTGGAACTTTATAGCTTCGTTAGCCATTGTATGTGGGACGACGAAGATATCTAAGAGTCGGAACGGATTATTGTCGACGGGTTGCAATTCTGTACGCGCAGATGCATACGCATGTGCATAGGTGTCGTATTGTAGATACATAGATAAGGAGTAAGAAAAGGACGTGGTCCTCATATGCATATGGTGGTTGGAAGCACGAAGACGTCAAAATCCCCATTACCAGTAGCATGACAACCCACTTCTAGAGGCTGTTCTCCTGCTGGGCTTCGAGGCCCGTGTGCACCACGTTCGAGTCGGCACTAAATAAATTACACCAAGAAACATAGTAACATCTCTCTCACCGCCTTATTTTGAGGTCGTTGCGTGTGTGATTTCGGTTGCGGCCCAATTCCCACACGTTCTGTGCTTCTCGCTTTGAACGTGTTCTCTTGGTGTATATCGCGCCCAGGTGCTTCGTTACTTACAGTAGTTCCACACCACAAGGGCACCATGCCAGTACACCGGTCGATGCGGGTCATCAAGTGCTAACCACCGCTCCCTCCCATCTGATTGGCGCACAGGGAGAGAGAACAATTCATTTTCGAGGGAGCATCAAGCGAGAGGATAAAGCAATGCTTCGTCGTTCTTATCCGGCCGACACGTGATGCCACAGCGGTGTAGCAGAGGGCGCTCGCAGTATCCGAAAAAAAAAAAAAAACATGACGACCGTCTTCTACCACCACCCAGTGGGTTGGCTGGCGGCCGGTCGTTTTAGGCCCCTTTTTTTTTTCTGACACCCGCGAACGACGGCGCTACGAAGGTAGACCCAAGACGAGTCCCCGTTCGACGGGACCCTGTGTCAAACGAGAGGCGTACTCGCTAAACCACCAAGTGGGGGGGGGGGGCGCCATGAGAAGGAGAAGACTAACCCCGAGTAAATCAACTTTCGAGCGGGAGAAGTCATTGCCCATCCACGCACGAACACCACCACTCGTCTGCCTCAGCCGTACGTACGTGAAGGCGAGTCAATCCAAGAACCGCGACGACAACGGGCATCAATCAAGGTGCGGAGAGATGCTATATTCGAACGTGGAAATATGTCCCCGAGTTTTTTTTTTTGCTGTGGGTCATTTTTGGAACACGCCAGATGTGAAGACAAGGACGGAGGTTGAAGCACGTCGTCGTAGTGTTGGCGAAAGGCGGTCGAAAAATGTGAGTGTGTTTGGGGACAAGTAGTTTGCTGTGCTTTCTTGAGTTGGCGGCCGTCGTGCGTTGCCATGCGTAAATATTTTCCCTCCCGTTGCTAGAGGGGGTGGGAGTGGAGAAGGATCTTGGTGTGCATGAACAACAAAGGACCCTGCTGGCACCGGCGGTTGCTAGAAGAAAGGTTAATCGTCAGTGTAACCTAAGTATTGATACCATTACGACGTGCGAACTGCTGCACAAACCCACGCAGCGTTCGGCATTTTTTCGCGCGGGTTCGTTTTGAGGTTTAGAACTTACAGGGGGTTTGGGCTTTGCCTGGCAATTCGGCAATACATATAGCAGTTACCTCTCGTACAGCACTGGGGCAAGGATTGAAAAGAAGCTCGAAAGAAGGTTTGCAAGCAGCAGCCCGCTCGGGGAGCTCGCCTTCGAGGGAGCCAAAATAAAAAACGCCATGTACAAAGTGCTTTCAGACCAGACCGCCCGCAGACCACGCATAGCACAGCTACCCTTAGCACAAGGGTATGGTACGCCTCAAAGCTATGGAGGAGTGGCAAGTGGCAGAGGCCGTCGGTTGTCGACCGATCATCTGGCTCTTTTCGTTTTTGGTCTCGTTAAACTTGGGCACCCTTTGTTTCTTTCCCCATCACGGAGTGCCGCCGATATGCGCCAGTAAGACGAAGCCCACCCATTGGTCCCTCCTTTTTTCAGCGGTGGAATCAGTGGTATGCCCGAAATGTTTTTTTCAACAGTATTTTGTCCGTACTTTTTTTCGTACAGCAGTCTGACTGCTCGTCGATATGCCATAGGTCGCAAGAAGAGCGTTGAGGAAATCTGAGACACGCCTATTGAATGGAATGCTGGCTGTGCTTTCTTCTCGTGTAATTTGAACGATATTGAGTTGTGTGCCTTCGATCCAGTTTTGTCAGGACGTCGTCATCAAGTAGAGAAAAGTGCTTCTGCTATGAATATAACCTTGAAATGTGTTTTTTGTGTGTTTTTCATGTAGTCAGTTGTATGCACATGTATCGGAGACCTAAGACGTGTTGTCGCGTTTTCCAGAAGAGTGCCTTGTTTTTTTTTGCTCTTTGGATTGTTCGCCCACGATTTATTTCCCCGCTTTGTGGCTGTTGGGATGTTCCTCGTTTCGTATCGAGCTCTATTGTCGATTGTATTTCTTGCATGCATGCCTGCCTCTTGAAAAACACTTTTTTAGCTGCTGACCATGTTTTATCATCTTCTGACTGATGTTTTGTACTCTGAAGTATATTGTCATTGTTCAACATGTACTTGACTCAACACGAAAATATGGTACTTGTACAACTCGCTGTTTTTATCTGCTCGACCGGACATTTTTTGTTTTTCGCCCAGAGGCCACTTCTTGAACATCCCACGTATCGTGTGCCTCGACTAATGGCCCGCGAACATTACAACCTGGTATCAACAGTACTGTAACGCGGGTTTCAAATAGAGAAGGTGGCGGGCGCTGCCTGGCTTCGGTCTATTTTTCGCGGTAAAGATGTCTCACTTGCGTTCAGGCGTATTGTGACCAATGGGGATGAAAGAGCGATGATCAACTGCACGAGCCGTGATTTCTTCCCCCTTTGGGACTGAACACCTAGGTGTCTTGTCTCCCTGCAGCGGGTGTGGCACACCCCCCCAAAAAAACGCCCCGATTTATTTTCACGAGAGCTTGCCCTTTCAAACCGGGCACTCTCTTGCCTCTAGATCTCGCTTTACTGTTGGGCACGTCTTGTCTTTGGAGTGCCGCCGATGTACGTCAGTAAGACAGCGCCCACCGTATTACAAGCCCTCTACTTAGTTATCGCAGGGTTTGTGTCCTCGACCAAAATTACGAGGTCTCTACCCGCCCGCACACTCTCCTCTCCATTTCCTGATTTTGCGCACACTTTGTTCTTGGTTCCAACGTTCGGCCTGGTTACGCTATGTTGTGCGAATTATTTCTTGCCGTGCTTTTTTGGTTGGACGTGAGGAGATTTGTGCCCCCGTAATGTTGGTTTTGACGACAATGACGACAGGCATCGAAACTTATCACGGGCGGAAATAAACGACTTATTTTCTTTTTCTTACATTAACTTTTGGTAAGCTTTTTCACCAAACTGACTCTGCTTTTCTTCAACCCCAACAACACCTTTTCCCGTTCCCTCCCTAACCTTGTGCATTTTTTGTTGAACGCTTGCCCACTACATGATCGAACAACCCTCCCTTGCTGAATCTTGCCCATTTTCTACTGCGCGTTCCTTTTTTTTGGCGTGTTTATTGTATCGACGCGCAGGCAGGGAATGGATAAAAATGTTAAGGGTGTGCTGCCTTGGCATGTGGGGCTCTTTTGGTGTTGGCAGATCAAAAGCAGACACACAGCTCGGTCTCGACACGTTTCGACGTAGAGAAGTGTGCCGGCGTTTCCTCCTTCTTCTTTCCACCACCACAACTTTCGGAGATTTCGGAGATTTCGGACAAGAATTCAAGACGAAAAGGACAGAGCAGCGTGCTACTCCCCATTCACGCCTACTACCCCCCCACACACCGTTGGAATTTCTACACAGTCTCATGAGAGAGGGAACCCTCCCTGCCGCGTTCAGGGAGGTCAACACCAGGGCTGCAGACACCGACGTCTGACAGCTCCTGCAGACCAAGCACACAACCGCATACGCACTTGAGGGGTTTCATCCACAAGCTTGAGGATTTCCAGGATGGTTGCCGTGCCGTGATTTTGAGGGAGAGAGCGTCGTCTGCAGACAACAGGAAGAGCCGCGTTTTTCACGTAGACTCCCCGTACACACCGTAAGCACCCCGACACCCACTGGGGGTTTCCACATGTGCACGGCGTTTGCATCGTTGGGGGGGGGGGGGATCCAGAATGGGCGTGTTCTACACCGTTGAAGACTTTTGCTGTCGTGCCTATGACAGAGCGTCTACGAATGGACACACCAGCACGTTGCCACTCCGCCCCCTACCCGGCTCATACGACTCAAAACACGTTGATTGGTTTGGATCTGTTGGCGGGGGTGGGGGGGGAGATCAACGTCTTTCGGGGGTGGGGGGGGGGGTCTGCACCATACAAGTACGAGCGAGAGAGTTTCCTGCTGTGAACCTGGAGAAATGCAAGCATCGGACTTTCCATCGAGAGAGAAGCGTACAGACTACGATTTTCGAGAACGAAAGCAGTCCGTACCACAGCCCGCCGTCACCTACACCACTTCGTTCGGCAGTCAAAGTGCAGGCGCAGTTTGTAGAGGAAAACAGAAGAGAGCACCAAATGCACTGCTAGGCGTCAGTCAGACTCGTCAGACTCTGCTTAGGTAAGACGGAGAAGGGCAATTCAATTTGTCCACGGTGGCTTTGGTCACCGATTGTTGTCGAGCGTTCTCTTCGCTGTTTGTTTTTGTCTGTGATTTGATCGTGTTCTCCTTTCCCCGATATTTTCAATTCCTGGATGAAAACAGAGAAGAGGTGCAATTAAGATGTGACTCCAAGCTGGCTTGCTTTAATATCTTTGCGTTTTTGTTCGATATCCCCTGGACGACTTTTCTTGCGAACTGGACCTGACGACTGTCTTCTTCCTTTCTCCGTGTCATCGTTACGGGCTTGATTCTTCAATCGATACCATTAAAAAAAAAAAAGCGAAGGGGCAATATTTCGAATTTCTCTCAGAGCACTGACTTTCCCCACCGCCCCCCCCCCAAACCCCGCTCGCTCTCCCCTTCGTCTTTTGCGCTCTGCTCTGCCTGCCCTCCTCGCATTCTTACGGCCGTGCACGCACCTTCTCGGCTTCCTCCGCGATCCCCTTGCCGAACAAACTGGCGTTGGGGGTGACGCACAATCGCCGTCTTGTGGGGTTATTGTTGATGTTGGGGGGTGGGGGCGGGGAGGTAAGTGTATGGCTTTAGCTTGGGGGAGGGGGAGAGGGAGGGTAAGGGTTGATTTGAGTATAGGCAACAGTTTGCGACAGCAGTTTTTGCGACGACAGCAGTTTGCGAACGCAGGGCTGGACTCGTTGTAGTTTTTCGACGTTCGGGGCCTCTCCTTCCCGAGATAGATAAGTAGTTATGTTGTGGTGGTCCTCGGGTTGAGGTGTACGGCTGGGCGTCGTTGTTGCGTTAAATGTGGCGACAAATTAGACACGTAGCAAATTCCTGTCAGGCGTACGTTCGAGCTGCGTTCAAGCCAAGAAGAAATATTTCCCGCCGTGTAGCTGTATGCGATGTGGCGTAGCGTTATTCCACGGCATCATGGCAATGCCGTTGGCTGTAGCCAGGTAGCTGTTGAAAGCGTTGTAGTCTGAATTCTACGCACCTGCGTAAGTGAGCGTGACCTCTGCAGTAGGACAAGGGTAACGCTAGGGTGACTTTGAATGGAGTGGATAGAAACAATACCGGTCGTGGCCGATTCCTGTTGTGTGCGCTGCACAACGGCAGCGCAGGAGCCAATGAACCGGAAAATTTAACGAGATCCATTGCTTTGCCTCCGCGGTAGGGTTGGTCTTGTTTGAATGTGGCTCACCAAAAATAGGGCATTGGACAGACAAACGAATGGCGAAAGATCACAGAAAAGGTTCAAGTGACTGTCCGTCGTGGTCAGATGGGACAACAGTGTACAGCACCCTCCTGTGTCAAAACACCGAGACAAACGGACTAAAGAACAGACATGTGAACCTACAACATTCGGCGGAGGGCTTGTGTATGACGATCTGACATGTGCGACACGCCGAGAGAAAGCCACATCTCGCCAATTGATCGCAAACGATCCACGTACGTAAGCGGTGTTTCTTTGTAGCGAGTCTGACGTCACGCTTGCTTTGGCTGGCTTCCTCAAATCCCTGTTCTTGCCACGGTGCCCACGAAGCCCGTTCGCATGACCTTTCCCAAGGCGAATGAGTTATGCGTGCCTGCTCCGCCAATTTAAAAGCCAGAGGATAAGCATCCCTCGTATTTCTCACCGCCAGACCTCCTACTACCTTTTGGCCTGAATCGGGGCGACACTGAATGAAAAACTGCGGGAACCAACACGACCACACAACCTCTCTCTCTCACACACACTCACTCGCCCTCCCCCCTAAATCCCTTGTTCCAAAGAAAACCAATTGATTTGCGGCCGTCTGCGAAACGGAGGCGCGTATCGTACTGCCGTTGAAGGAACAATTGGAGGGCTCTCTTCCCTCAAGACCTTCACCAATCAAAGGAGAACAACACACACTCATTCCGCAGAGCAAGCAAGAACGAGACATACACGCGAGTACCGGCCCACCCACATCGAACAACACCAATAAAACAGGACATTACTATCCGCAAGAACTAGCCTCGCCATGTTATCCAACCAGTAGTTCCGGCGTAGGTGGGGGCTTGATCTTGTCTTCGTTCATGAGAAGCTTGAACAGTCCCGTGCCCAAGGGGATCGGGATCCCCATGATGATGCACTGCCAGAAAGACGTGTACACGGGCAGGAAAAGTAGTTTAGCTTGGTTGTCGTTGGCTGGACACGGTGTTGCAATGCCGGCTGGGTGAAGGTTTGAGGAAAGTTTATTGCCCTGTTCTGTCATTTTCGTCCCGTTGTTGAGCCCACAGCGTGAGTTGAAATACCGGCTTGAGAGTGAGGCATTCCGCTTGTCCGCAAGCACGTGTGTACATAATCTGTTATTGAGTCACGAACATGTTTTAGCGACAGCCTGGGACTTGGAAGCAAGAGGAGGTGTGGATGGAGGCCAGAACCGCTGTTACAGTTAACATAAAAAAGACGGAGCACTGCATGACACTCCGCTAAGCTGGAGAAAAAGCAGCAGTGGGCCAGAGAAGAAAACATCTCATCAAATTAAGTTTGAAGGCAAAGCCAACCCCCAAAGCCATTGTTCCCTGCCTATTTACATCGTATACAGTAATCCGCGGTAGTCCGTACCTCGCTGACACCAACGATGGCGTCGTGTCTGCCGTGAACGGAGGCGTCGAAGAGGTGGTCCGTGGTTTTCTCGAAGGACGCCAGCATCAGCACCGACTCGCGCATCTTTGACACCCCGAACCGCGTGATGCCCAGCACCTCACCCTGAAGGACGATGAGGCACCAAACACACAAGGAGACAGGGAGGTGATCGCAAGCTAAGCACTCCTGCTGTACAGGAAGGAGCCCAGGTGATCTACAAACAGAAACACGAGAGGTGCAAGGACTTCAACACACGTCTCTGCCGTGTATCTCCCACGGGCAGTCTCTCTCGTGATGTATGTGTGGTTTGCAAACTTTGAAAATTGCAGGCGAGGTCCGGAAGGTTAACTGCTGTTGCAGTTCCCACCTGTTTCATCTACACAAACGCCTTCGTCTTCGCTGACATTTACCGACCCAACCCTTGTCGTAGGAGAGATTTTTGTCCTTCCGTGGTCACACGTTCAACACCCAAGTCATGCAAAACCCCGGAAATGTACATCCCTTCACATACACTGCAAAAGTGGTATATTAGAGAGGTTGGTTCGCAAACTGCGGTTTACTTCCGCCAACAACAGCGACGATATAGACACCCCCCCGGTTAAAAAAAAGGCCTGTTGGTTCATCGAACCCAGCCTCCAGGATCGCTCGGGAAAAGGCATAGGACATGGGTTGATGTAAAAAATCCTAGCACAACAGTTTCGTGTATTTGACAATAGGGCATGGGTTCATGTAAAATAATCCTAGCACGACAGTTTCGTGCATATGGCAAAGCAGTAGATAGAACAACAGTTTCGTGAATATGGCAAAGTAGTAGATAGAACAAACGACAAGAACAAGCCAGCAACAACCTCAAGCAAAACGTTACCTTGAAGGTCATGACGTCTGCCAGCAAGAGTAGATGCCGTCGGTCAATGGAGATACCGTAAGCCTTCATGATGTACGTGATCTCCTCCGAAATGATGATCCGAGCCGCTTCCACGCCCAGCGTGTGGAACACCTGTGGAGTGGAGACAGCGCATGAGTTGACAGACGCACGTATTTGGCCTTTATTTAATTAGTTCATGTGTGTTTTTGTACAACTACTCGTAGTATTTTTAATTTCTTAGGGTTAGAACGACATTCGGAGGTGTAGGTGCAACTGTCACTGAGAGCTCTAGAGGTGTCTCGAGGTGTTTTTTATGGTGCTGTTGTCATGTAACTCGTCAAACCACCGTGCTAGGTTCGATTTTTCCTGTACTGAGTACAGTAGTGGTCCCTGTATAGTGTCGGTCGAATAGTGCCGGGTGCCGGTATAATCCCGGTGTTTTCAGCTCGCACGCACTGAAAACCAAGTCGTTTTCTGTCCTTTGAATTGTGCCAGTGTCCGGTATGTTGTTGTTGTCTTCACATGGTACAGCGCCGGTAAAATCTCTGAACACATACCGGTACTGTACAGGGCCCACTACTGCTGTACACTGGTGTGTCTGACAGCGCCATTTGCTGCAGCTGCACAGCTACGGAAACGCGACGCCATCGGACGGGTCATTGATGACGTGGAGCCTCTGGCTTCCCCCGCTTGTAGGGGTTCGCAGCGACCACTGAAAGCTGTGCCAAAATTGAAATAGAGGGGGCAGAAAACGCGACTCTTCCGAAGCAACATTAGCAATACCACCAGTACAACCAAGATAAGTTGCAGAAACGCCATCACTTAAACTAGTACAATAGACACCAATAGTCTACGTAAGTTATTCAAGTAAGCAAACATACTGGACGAAGTATAGAAATGGCAAAGTTGGAGATAGGGTTAGAGTTACGGTTTGCGTGCCCCCTGCCTTCTCCCTTTTCGTTTTTCGTTGAAGTAGGCAGTCCACAAACAAACCACCCGGCGCGTGATTCGGATGTGCCCAGGGGTCAAACGGCTACGCAAGTCACGACTGTACGTGAATGAACACCAAGAAAGTCGATTCAACCGCCCACCATCCACGCACCTCAATGATGTGGTTAGACCTGGTTCTAGTACCGTCGATGCCGGGCGCTCCCATCACAGCAGCAAGCCCGTACCCTTCCACCAGCAGATGGTACCTGATCAAACAAGGTCCCAGACAACATGCCGTCCCAGTCAAATCAAACGTATCCGCTTCGCAGAGTTTTTTTTGTTTTAGAACTACCGTATATGACACAAGGTAACACACACCCTGGACCGATTTTCAAAGCTCGATGTTTCAAAAGCAGCAGAGGTCGCAGGGCCGAAAACGGCGGCGTTAAGGCCGTCTGGTCGAGAGCTCTCTGAAAACATGTCCTTTCTCTATGCGTCCTCTTCGTCGTGGAGGAGTCGAGCTTTGAAAATCGGTCCAGGGGGTGTGTTATCTTGTGTCATATACGGTATAAGCGGAGGAGACACACTTGTTTGCTTTTTCCGTTTTGTTTGTTTTAGAAGTACATGTGTAGGCCGTGCGAGATCGTTTCCCTCCCCTTGAACAGAATCTCGCTCATCCGACATGAGACAACCACAAGCCAACGTGCGGAGCCCGGCCCTAACCCTGCTCCAACAGAACAATCCGATAAGTGGCAAGAGGTGGCAAGAGTCCCGCCCCCTCCCGACGTTATTGTCCTTCACCGAACTTTGCTCTTTTCTGGACCTGTCTCCAAAATCGAAAGAAAAGAAAAAAAACAGAACACAACCGTAGAGCATCTCTGGGGCACCAAAAAAGCTGGTTCGAGCCCCAAACCCGTTAGTTGGGCCCTAATCTTGATACTATCTCGACTACAACTTTCTGTTCGTGTAGAGTAAAAAATACCCGATGCACCCCGCCTTGTCGGCGTAAAACGTGAATTGGATGCGTGTGTGTGTATCATCCCGGGAATCAGCCAACCCCTACAAAATACCGACCTACCTCTCTTTGGGCGCGCCGCGACAACCGTAAGTTAAACGCATGTGTATCACCCCGAGAATCAGCCACACCGACCTACCTCTCTTTGGGCGCGGCTCCTGAGGCAGCGCCGGAGGAGTTCTCCTGCACGTTGATGACGGCGCGGTTTACCGAGGGGATGCCTTGGACGATCACCCCGGGCAGCACGGCCTTGAGGGCCTGGAGAACAAAGAACGTCTTGGGTCGCACCGTCTCCGCTGCCCTTGCGCTCTTGGCGCCCGACAGCTCTGGCGGCATCACCTTGATCTGGTGGGGGGGCGGGGAGCGGGGACACGATGATGATGATGATGATGATGGGGACGGAGGAGGTCTCTACAGAGGACATCGAACGAACATGCCACCCATTGACCAACAACGCCAACAACCTTGTGACAGCGCTGCATCCAATGAACATGCCATCATTGACCACCACCTACAACAATGCCGACTACCGTAATCGTAATAGGCGGAGAGATGGCACCGCTTCACGGCTCGATTGCTCCACGACCAAGTGGGTACGGAAAGGGCCCCATTCGCTTACGGAAAGCTCTCGACGAGATTTTTTCCAAAACCACCATTTATTGAGTTGGTACAAGCTTTGGTTGTTGTTGAGCAATCGAGCTTTGAAAAATTGTCTAGGGGGGGTGCCATCTCTCCAC